CTTTCAGGGTACCCACAAGGCTAAGGTTTAAAATGTCAATACTGTGGAAATATTCCCAAGTCCCATTTTGGGGATACCTCAAGCCTCCTCCCAAGGAAAAGGTACTGCCTGGAGTGGAGAAGGCTTGGGCTTAAAATTAAAGGAATATGAAAGATCCCAGCCAAAGACCAGGATTCAGTGTAGACGTGGAAATTAAAATTGCATATTACTTCTCAGTTTCACACCTGAAAGGATTTTCTGTCCTGGATATGACGATGACATCTGCGTCCTGGGTAAGACAATAAACTAGGTAGGTGACACTGTCGTGGAAGATGCGTGTTGGTTGCGTCCCGAGAAGGATACGCAACATATCAACCTGTCAGAATTAGACGCCGTTATCAGGGGAGTCACCGCGGCCCTTCAATGGAATGCAAAGGTATTGCATTTATTCACGGATTCCGCATGCGTGTATAAGTGGATAGCAGACACTCTTACGGGGAAGGCTTTATATCGAACGGTCTTTCCGCCATCTTGCGAGAGACAAAGTAAATGCCGAAATAGCTTGAAGAGTAAGCGTTCTCAAAGCAAATTTGTGGCTTTCACAACACAAAGAGAATCACTTGTAACACGTCAGGAAAATTCGGGCAGTTTTGGCTACGGCGTTCGTGAGTTATTTTCCTGACGTGTTACAAGTGATTCTCTTTCTTTGTGTTGTGAAAGCCACAAATTTGCTTTGTGAACGCTTACTCTTCAAACAGCAAGGACTCTTATCAGGAGGTTTTGAGGAGCGTGGAACCACCTCTTAATTGCCGGTGTTCCCAGGTCCACCCTGACCCTGGGTAGTAGCACCTGTTAGGGTCCCAGATATGGGTAAATAGTTAACCCCCAAACTAGGGTTAAAACACTATGAAAGTGTAAAAATAGGTTTTAATAATAGAAATACTTTGTAAAAACAATATTACCAGCAATACATTTAAAAAAAAAAAAAAAACAATATTACCAGCAATACATTTAAAAAAAAAAAAAAAACAATATTACCAGCAATACATTTTTTTAAGAAAAAATAAATACATACACCCTTTTTTTTATCGTTATGAATCTATTTCAAAATTTTGTTGGCATTAAATGACCCACTCAGGTTGATATGTCATAAATCAAAACAACCAACCAACCAACCTGAAGGGATTTTCAGACAATGTTTTAGTGTCTGTCTGGTCTCTCTATATAAGCCTATAGAAAAATGAGAGAAGGAAAAACTGCCGTTTACCAAAATGTTTTAATTTATTTATAGTTCTGCCCTTTAGTTATTTATTTTATTTATTTTATATGAGGAAACTAAAAAGTTCTCAGTCCAACCAAGAAGCATCCCCCCCCACCACCATATATACTGATGCTTTATTATATGGTCATATTTTGGAAAAGGAGTTCAGTTCTACAAAATTTCAGTTCTTTTAGCATTTGTATGTACATTATATAAATTTGTTTTTGAGTTTCTGCAGTTTCTTTCCTGTGTCTTCTATCAACACTGGATATGTTGTTTGTGGCTGACATGTTAATAATTAATCCTAATGGTACTTCCAGTTTTCTCAGGATCACCATGCTGTAAAGATTGAATAAGTCTGGTGAGAAGACACAATCTTGTTTTACACTCATACAAAATAAATCATCAGAATTGCAGGATACCCTCCAAAAGTCTTATTACAACTGGAAAAACCTGTGTGTGTGTAAAACAACTGGAGGAAATTTGTATAACATAATCTTCCATAATTAAGCCAATAAAATTTCCAAATCATATATCATTGTTGCAACCGAGGGAAGGTTACTGAATAGAATAATCACACAAAGGTTGGTATTGAATGATAATACTTAGGACAAGAACAACACATATAAGATTCACCAGCGGTGCATAGAAGCAGGAGTCAACAGCTAGAAGTGAGTTAAGTGAATTCTACAATGAATCTTCAACTGCAGACCAACATACAGCATTTACTACTGTATATATGTGAATGGGGACATACCCATTATCATCCATAGGTGTGCTACAACAATTATTATCAACAGAAATATTATTTTATTTGATAAATATAAAAGTTACACAGTCTTTCAATGGAATTATAAGTTTTGGGACATTATAGGAAGCCCAGTGGAGTAACTGATAGCAGCTCGGATTGAGGAATTGGAGAGCCAAGTTTGCATTCCAATCAAATCCATTACATTCATTTATGTGCTAATACCCTTGGGAAAGGTGTGAATCCTCTTCTTCTCCCTCCAGCTATGGGTAAATAGCAAGACAGACTGGGTTCTATAGTTCTTGGATGGCAACTGGTTTAGGAGAAGGACAACTCTGAATTCAAAACCTGCGAAGGGTTGTTTGGAGACCTTGTGACACCAGGTCTCTGTATTCAACCCTTCAAAAAGTGTGGTTGGTTCTGCAAAAAGCCTTCACCACTATAATCAAATCACATGTGCAGATGTCTGGCTGTCAGTTCCTAGGAACTGAGTTGCTTAACACTCATACATCGACAATTGACTGGAGAGTCCACAAGATATACATATAGATAGATATGGGCACATAGCCAAGTTGTTAGAATGTTCACTTTCTGACCATGAGACCCAAGTTTGAATCTCACCATGGTCAATTTGTCAAGAAGGCGACTTCTTGTTGTTATTGGACTAGATCGAGGTTGATCCCAGCAAGTGCTTGAAAACCATACTACAGTTCGACCCAAGCTTTGTGAGTGAAATTGAATAGATGGAACTCTTGTTCATCAATAGTTATGCTAGTATGAAGCCACAAATCATTGTGGCCAAGGGCTTGATCATGCTGGCTTTGTTCAAATTGTTGATCACGCTAGATAACATGCTCTCTCCCAGATACCGTAACTAAGGTCTACTCCATTGCAGTATGAACCAAAGGTGGGCTCTGTGGGTATTGAGCAAACACAAATGTACCCAAGCGAGCGTCTGTAATAGGGATTAGCTAGCTGCCCTAGTAGACAAGTATACTCAAATACAAGTGGCCAGCTATTATTTATATATGTATATATATGGCATCTAAATGATGGAATACTTAGGTTTTAAATATACAAGTTTCATTAAAATGACTGACAAGGTAATGCAGTTAAGTTTTTTTATTTAATTTTTCCCTGTGTCATAATTTTAACTTTGCTGGTCATAAATTATGTAGAATATTCGAACAATTTCTATATCATTTATGTCCAGAAAAGAAAAAAAATGTTAATAACTCAGGAAAGATTAAATAAAAACGTAACCACAGTCATTGTTAACGAAACTTTAAACTTTATATATATATATATATATATATATATATATGATTTAAATCATGGAGCTCAATTTCCTCTTCAATAGTTTTAAATATTTTAATTTTATTATCAATTCTAATTTTTTATATTTGAATTATTTGAAATAATTTTAAATATTTTCGTTTTATATCATTATTATTTTATTAAATAATTTCATTTTTTATATTATTTTTTATTATTTTAATATTTAAAATTTTTTTTATTAAGTGCTTTACTTTTAATGTTTATTTTAAATATTTTAGATAAACCTATAAAGCATCTACAAAAACGTCATATATACTTGTTATTGAATATTATAACAAAAATAAGAAAAAGTATAAATAGCACATATGAAGAATAAACAATTGATATGGGTTATCAACCCTTTGCAGGTTATTTAAAGCCAGAATTTTTTTTTTTTTTGAGATTTGATTTAAAAATGCAGAAAAAACTATTCCATACGTAAATTTAAACTTGAAGTAGACCATCAGCCAAAATTTTTTAAAATAAAGACACAGAAAATGTGGATATCAACATTAAAAAATCCTAGAATCCTGGCAAAACCTAATCCCAGAATTTTGGAAAAACGGTAGGTATGCTAAAACGACTGAAACATTCTGATCAAAACAACAAACATCAGGATATCAGTCTGAACAATTTGTTGATGAATTTGTTTCTACAGCTTATCACCACTTTTCACGTTAGAAAATATTTTTACAATGTAAGAATTTTTTTAAAAATAATAGTGATTTAGTGGTAAGTCTTATTAATTAATTATTAAGAATAGGTCGATTAATACCTTTCTCAAGAGTATCGGTGAATATAATAAACTGAACTGGGATTGGGAATTGGTTCTCCAATTTTCAATTCCAAGACATTATCCATTACACCATTGTAAGAATTTTGGGATTGCAAAAGAAATATTTGTCACAGATTACATCCAAAATGCAGAGAACAAATCACTGTAAGTTCAGACTCGAATATCAGGGGCAAGAAGAAATGCCGAAATCTCGATTCGCAGGTACTATGTCACAAATCACAATACACATAACCAGTCAGAAAAAATAACTCACTCCCCAACAAACACGATAGCCAAAATACACAAATTTTATCTATTTCCTGAGCTGATTCGAGAACACCAACTGCTTTTATTTTCCGAGCATTTTTGTCATTCATTGACAACTGGGAGAGGAGGCACAATATTAGCAGAAATCAAAATACTTTTATGGCAACTCCTGCAACTGACTTGTTTCTAATTTAAATATTCTGTCTTCAGCATCTCATGCAGAATAAGTGGCCTTTAGGTTTTTGGCAAATAACTTTCTTTTTCACCATATTTTTAGTCATGGAATACATGCGACACGCTGTCGCTTGGCTTGATGAGGTAATTCGCCGTTTTCTTCACTATATCAAAATTACAACTTGGGTATTCCCAACCGGTCACCTTTTTAGGTACTGAACCGGCTCAACATTGCTTAACTTTAGTAAGCATACAGGAACATCAATAGGTACATTTCTTCTACAGAATAAGTCATGAATCGAAAGGGACATGATTTCTGAAGCAGGTATCGCATACGGCAGTTAGTGGCTGCAGGAGAAGCGGGTATCGCATACGGCAGTTAATAGACTGAGTGCTTTTCAAAGTAGAACTAACAAACTTGCTTTTTTCAATCGAAATATTTTTGTGTAGAATTTATTTTGAAGCACTCACTAATAAACATGTTTTATTTCTTTCTTTTTTCCAGTTATGGTGAGGATCTCCCATGTGCATTGGTGGTGGCCCGCCTGGAAGAGCTACAACGGAATCAAAACATTCTGTACAATTTGGTAAAACCAACCAAGGATAATCCCAATTTGATAGAATCCAACCTCAAATTGGCCAATGTCTTGCCAAAGAATCGGTAAATTATTTTTTTCTTATTTCTTTCAACATTAAACTGATATCAGTATTCTTTAAGTTATATTCTTTAAATAAACTCATGTTTCACAGTCTCACTGAAAATAAAATCATTATTGCAATCGACTCAGTTGACTATTAGACTGCAGCTTGTTATCTAATACTATCCCGTTATAACATTGCAATATTCCAGCATTTGGTCACTGAAAGAAATTCCACAATGTAACATGGAAGTAGACTAAAACTCTTCAAATGAGCAACTCTGTACTGGCCATTTAATGATTAATTCATTTTTTTCTAGGCAGTTCTGAAAGAATGGCATTTAACCAAAATATCTAGGAATAAATTATGTCGGTCAGGTCTCAGAGTTCAATGAAGTCATACTTGCTAGAATCTCCTCACAGATGATGAGGGGAAATGAGGTGGTAGAAATGTGAACACATAATGAGGAAAGAGGGCTTGCAGAATTTAACACTCACAAGGCATACTGAAAGACAGAAGATAGCAGTGAATAACTGGCCAAACAAGCATGTGTAAATGGATAGCAGAACAGATGAGGGGGGGGGAGTAAGGTGACAAACAGACTTAGAAAGAATAGGAAATTGTGGACCGACCCAATCACTCATATCCTGAAGGTACAGAAGACGGAAAAGAACATCTGTACTGGCCATTTGCCACTCTTTACTTATTAATTCATTTACCTAGACAGTTCTGAAAGAATGGCATTTAACCAAAATATCCAGAAATAATGTATGTTGGTCAGGTCTTGGAGTTCAATGAAGTCATACTTGCTAGAATTTCCTCACAGATGATGAAGAGAATTGAGGATTGCTGAAATGTGGTTCTACAGAAGGATGCTGAGAATCCCATCTAATGAACATGTGAGTCACGAGGAAAACACTTGTATTTAGAATCGGAAAGAGACAGTAGAAAATTTGAGGGCATATAATGAGGAAAGAGGGCTTGCAAATTTTAACACTCAAAAGGCATACTGAAGGACAGAAGATAGCAGTAAATAACTGGCCAAACAAGCATGTGTAAATGGATAGCAGAACAGATTCGGTGGTGGGGAGTTGACAAAAAATAGGAAGTTGTGGAGAGACATAATCACCCACATTCTGAAGGTACAGAAGGCAGAAAAGAACATGGAAGTAGAATAGGACTCTTCAAATGAGCAATTCTGTACTGGCCATTTGCTGCTCTTTAATGATTAATTCATTTTTTTCTAGGCAGTTCTGAAACAATGACATTTAACCAAAATGTCCAAGAATAATATATCAGTCAGTCGTCAGGTTTCAGTTGTTCAACAATTTAAAGTGGTATCATGGAATTTACAAAAACAAGGGTGACTACTGAGGTGGGATCTTTAGCCAGTTTATCAGATTTCTGTTGATGTGTATACAAAAAGGATTGATTTGAATTTCTTCCATCAAGCCTTTCTCTTCAATTCCACTAGTAGTATTAGATGGAATAAATTTATTCTTTTTTCACTAGGATTTCTTTCATCTTATTTCTCTTGCTTTTTATTCCACTAGTAGTATTATGGATGGAATAAGATTTGAATTTCTTACATGAAGCTTTGTCAATTATTATTTATTTTTCACTAGGATTTCTTTCATCTTATTTCTCTTGCTTTTTATTCCACTAGTAGTATTAGATGGAATAAGATTTGAATTTCTTACATGAAGCCTTGACAATTATTATTATTCATTTTATACTGGAATTTTTTTTTCCACTTTGATACAGAAGGCAGCACCTTATACTTAATTTGCATCTGTAGTCATACAATACACCCGATGAATGTTCATATATTGGTTTGTAATCAATCACTCTCTGACCACTTCAACTCGCTGTAAGCAAACCTCAATTCCACTAATAATTCCAAAATCTAATTCCAAGATTGTCAATGCCCAAATGGGAATTCAATCTTCACTTCTATCTATTTCACAAGAAGTGGATCGCTGCAGTTTAAAAATTTACAAACCAAATTTGTTTATTGGTTTTCCTCACTAGGCTTGGTTCAGTCTAATTAATTTCTCTTTCTGTATGAACTTTATATTAACAAACCAAATAATTCTAGTTGGTCCATCATTTTTTTTTTTTTTTTTTTTTAAAGCATTTCTTTGCATCAGTGAACATAGAAGTACAGTTTGTTATAGCATCATCATCAACCCAAATAATGCATATCATTTTGTCTCTGTTTTGTATCCTCTGACAGCATGGCTGATGCTAACCTCCAAGAGAGTGACTCATTCCACCTTCTCAGACTAACATTTTCATGAAGTGGAAAGAGTATATTGAATTGTAGGTCTAGTGCTATGAAAATTGGTTCACTGTGTCATGCTAGACAGTTTTTCTTACCAGAATCTATCTTACATAAATCTACCATTTATCTATGCTTTGAATATTGCTACCTCATCTGGTCTGCTGCTCCTGCTATATATTTAGAGATTCTTGAGAAAATCCAAAGAATCAGCAATATTATTGGTCCTGACCAGGCATCTCGGCTTCAGTCACTTTCCCACTGCTGTAATATGTCTTCCCTGTGCCTTTTCTATAAATATTTTCATTGTAATTATTTGGATGAACTTCCCTGTATGGTACCTAGACTTTATGAATTTAAACACACTACTGAACTGGTAGCAAGGTCTCATTACAGTTGAAAATGGCTCGATGCAACCACAAATTCTATGCTGTTTCTTCTATCATACTTCTTGCTTGTGGAACTCTCTTCCTGCTTCTTGCTTTCCAGTCAGATTTGCATTTAAATTTTTGAAGATCAAAGTCAATTGTTATTTTCTGTTTTCTTAATTCTTGTTCTTTTATTGTCTTCTTTTCTTAATAGCATATTTTTCTCATATTCTCTAACACTCCATAACCCTTTGCATCTTAATGATAAAAATATATATATATCATGTGATTGGATATAGCCAGAATAGACATTTTACTCAATTTTATAGCAGACTTATCAAAGAAACTCTGTGCAGGGATTACCTCTTTGGCAGTGTGGAGGAGATCCATGCTTCAGTTGATTTCAGTAGCTGACATGCAAAAACTGGATCAACCCAGATACAGCTGAGATGTGCAGATGTGCGAAAGAACCAAATGACAGATATATAAACACCCACCCCTGAGAGAATAAAATCTCTGGCACCCACACAAGAATGTAGTGCCCCCATTCAGAGAAGACCCCAAAGCCACACAATCACTGGCTCATGGTGATTTGACAGGGTGAATAAAATGTTACACATAGAAGATTAAATCTCCTGTTTTCATTAATCTAGACAGCACATTGATACTGTTAATTGTAATGCAGTATTGCATTTACATCTGTTTCATTTCAGATTTTTTTTTTTTTTTTTTTAATAAGCGTTTCACCCCAAGCAAGGCGAGAAACCACTAGGACGCAAAGGGTTACAGAAAATTTGGAGCAAGATCAGATAGGAGTGATAGAAGAAAGGATGAGGGTAGTGGACAGATCAAGGCAACTGGAGATGTCAATTGACATTACATTTGAATAGCTGGAGATTATAGCTCTCAGGGAAACTGGAATAGGGAAGGGAGTTCCACAGGCGAGAGGTATGAGACATGAAGCTATTGGAGTAGAAGAGATGGCTACATTTAGGATTTTCAACAGTGAAAGGGTGAGAGCGGGATGCCAGCCTCGTAGAGCACTTGAACTCATGAAGTCTGGGAACCAGCGAGTGCAGCTCCTCGGAGCAATTGCCATGAAAGTATTTGTAAAACAGACAGAGAGAGGCGACGTCGCGTCTGTGAGAAAGTGACTGTAGACGAGATGCCAGATCAGGGCCAATTATATTGCATATCCACCTCTGGAGACTATCAAGAACCCCGAGGCAAACAGAAGGGGCTCCAGACCATATATGGCAGCAATACTCCATGCAAGGGCGAATGGTTGATTTGTAGATCTGGAGGATCAATTCCAGGGAGAAAAATTTCCTGGCGCGGCACATGGAGCCAACTTTCCTTGCGGTGGACGAAGGTGAAAATATCACCATGCATCTGGAAATGTGCCTTCATAACAAAATACACGTTTTATATAAATACTTTTATAGTAATTCCTTGGATTAGCTCTTCACTATGGTACTTAGACTTTTTGTATTTAAGTACAGTACTAAACTTGCATTGTGTTCTCATCAATTTACAGTTGAGCTGGCCAGATGTAGCCATATATTCTATACTGACAGTTTCTTTTCTCACACTTCTCACTTGTGGAACACCCTTCTGGCTCCATGCCTTCCAGCCAACTTTAATCTTCAAAAATTTAAATGCAATGTCAGTCGCTATCTACTGCCCTCCTGATTCTTCTTCTTCTGTTCTTGCTCCTTGCTAATGTTTCTGTTTTCTAATTCTTCCATACCTAGTAACCTTTTGCGTCTTAGTGGCTTTACTGCCTTACTTAGAGTGATACCTATTAATCATCTGAGAGACCCCTTTCTTCTTTCTCTCAGCATGGCTGATGCTAACCTCCAGAAGAGTAACTCATTGGTCCTTAATTCGTCTAACTTTCTTGGCTGACATGGAGTGGAAAGACTATATTGAATCCATTGCTAGGTCTGCTGCTAAGAAAGTTGGTTCAATGTGTCATGTTAGACAATTTTTTTTACATATCTAAAAGTCTACCATTCATCCATGCTTAGAAAATTGCTGCCACATATAGTCCAGTGCTCCTGCTATATATGTAGAGATCCTTGATAAAATCCAAAGAAGAATCAGAAATATTATTGGTCCTGATCTGCTTTGTTGGCTTTAGTCACTTTCTTACCGGCATAAAGTCCCTGGGCCTTTTTTATAAATACTTTCATGGTAGTTGTTCAGATGAACTCTTCACTATGGTACCTAGAATTTCTGCCTTCCATCAGCATGACTAATGCTAATCTCCAAGAGAATAATTTGTTGCACCTTCTCAGGCTAACGTTCTTGGTTGACATGAAGCTGATAGACTATATTGCTAGGTCTTCTGCTAAAAAAAAGTTGGTTCAATGTGTCAAGCTAGACAGTTTTTCTCTCCAGAGTCTTTTACATATCTATAAGTCTACCATTCATCCATGCTTAGAATATTGCTGCTATATATGGTCTGGTGCCCCTGCTATTTACCTTGAGCTCCATGATAAGATCAAAGAAGAATCAGCAATATTATTGGCTCTGATCTGGCAGCTTGGCATCAGTCACTTTGCCACCATCATAAGGTTGCCTTCATGCCTTCTCTTTAAGACTATTTATAGGATTTCACCAATTCTTTATCTCAACATTTTTTACCAATATCTTCCTGGTATCAGTGTAGATTCAAGTAAGTTTTGTAGATTTTTACTAACTCTGCCTTAAAATGTTTCTGATTTTTGAAGATATCCATATGACACTGTGTTGATAGCAGTCACAGAAAGAAAACTACAAAGTCACCTACAGAAGGCACTGAAGGAAATCAAGAAGAAAGGACTAAGCACCAACTGCAAGAAAGCAAAATGCAAAAGGATCGGAGATACCAAAATAAAACAAGCACAAAAATTTAAATATCTAGGAAGTGTTTTAATATAGGATGGAATGTATGACACTTAAATCTGAAGGCACATTGGGATATCCAAAGATGCATTTCAAAAGCTAAGCAAAGTATTAAGAAACAGAAAAATTTCTTTAGAAACAAAAGAAGTTTACTGAACTGTTACATGATATCAGTCCTCCTATATAGAAGTTAATGCTGGACAATCTCTTGAAAGGTGAAGACTGTTGTGGTTTCTGAGGCACATAATGAGAAAAAAGAAGGCATGGAAAATTTGATACTCACAAGACAGATTAAAGGCAAAAGGGGTGGAGGAAAACAATATATAACCTACCTAGTGGGCTTAAGTAAAATGGATGGCTGAACAAGGTTTAGGAGAGCTAACAAAAAGACAAAAGTTATTAATAGCTACAAAGGACAGGAGAATATGAAGGGCCATGATCACCAATATCTTGAAAGGGCACAGCTCATAGAAGAAGAGTAAATCATCACTTAAACTTTTATCTATGGCCAATAGTTACAACACTTTATCACAAGAAAGTAGAAATAAAAGAAAATTATTTCAATCAATCTTGTAAGAATAATTAATTCATAAAAACTGAATCCTGAAGTTGAATTTGGAAATTCTAAAGAATTTGGAAATTCTAAAGAATCATAAGTAAAGTGATTGATGTATAGCTGTTATATTTAAAAAAAGGAAATAATTCTGTAAAGCAACTTTAACTGATGAACCAGATTAAAAACTGTCTATAATCGGGAAAGCTAATCTAAATTGAAATCGGCAAGATTTTAGGATCCAACATGGTATGCATCCATCTGTGGAAGTTCCTTCAGTAATTGGAATTTTAAAATGTCACATGAAATTTGCTTGCCTACAGAAACGTTATTAATAACATATATACAAAAATATTAAAAAAACATAAATATTTTGTTAGAAACAAAGAGTACTGAACTGTTACGTAATGTCAGTCCTTCTATATGGCAGTGAATACAGTTCTACAGAAGGATACTGAGGATACCATGGACCGAACATGTGAGCAACAACAAAATTTTAGAAAATGGAAGCAAAAAGGAAACTTATGCTTAACATCAAGAAGAGACAGTTGAGGTTTCTGGGGCACATAATGAGAAAGAAAAGTTTGGAAAATTTGATACTCACAAGACAGACTGAAGAAAACAATACATAACCTACTTGGAGAGTTTGAATGAATGGATGATGGAACAATGTTTAGGAGAAATAATGAAAAGATAAAATCTATTAAGAGCTACAAAGCTCAGGAAATTGTGGAGAGCCATGATCACTGGAAAAAGAGAGTAAGGGAGTCATTTTGAGTGTAGTAGGGACATGCCAACCTCAGCACATTCCTGGAGGCTGGAAATACTTCATGAAACAAAACTTTTCCTTTATTTTAAAGCAACCAGGGAAATGAAAATCTTAGAATATTGTCTGAAAATTGCTAAGACTGTGTAGCTAGATTAATTTTTCAATCATAGAATTAACCCTGCTTGTAGGAATCTGCCAAAGAACATTATCAATAAAGTAGACAAAGATATTAGATTGAAGATATTAGTTTGAACAACTCATAGAATGATGATGTGAAATGATTCCAGAATTTCAGACAGGTTTTTGTTTGGGACAGGAGAATGTGAAGGGCCATGATCCCAATGAGGTCAGTAGAAAACAAAAAAAAAGAATCCATGTGCCAACACTTTAGCAGACTGCACACAAAACAAACTCTTTTTCGAGGTAGGTGATTTTCTCTTTTGTTAGTTTCATTTTCTTTTATTTTCATTATTGGGTTCTTTGGTGAACATCCCCATAGAAGCAAGCGAGCCAGAGTGGCTTGCATCTGGTGCATAGGAAAATAAGGGTCTTACCTTAACGTGCATCACATGACATCGGCAAGTTTGCTCCACGAAAATGGCATTACTCTCCCATCTAGCAATTCTAGCAGTATGTGCGGTAATGTACAGTTTGGCATACTTCCACCAATAGCAAGTCGTGTGTTGATTAGTCGAACTGGAGGAGGCTATTTACCTGGGTAACTGAGAATAAAAGCAAAGAACACTGATTGGTTGGTCGACTGCAGTGTTGGCCTGATAAAAGAGGGCTTAAGCAGTGAAAACAGAAGGAACGACAAATATACATTGTGACGTGTTCAGAAAGCAAGGACGGCGAATTGAACCAGCGGTATCTTGATTTGTACAAGTGATGTCGTAGCAATTCAGATTTATTTAAACTACAGTTCTCCACCTCCTCTTTAATGTCGTATGGAAATTTTTATGCAATTTTGTAAAATGTAGGTGTAGGCTACCTAAATACTCAAGCAGTAAGGCAAAAGCAGAACTTGGCATTCAAGATTGTGGTGTAGGTGCCAAGAACAGAGGAAATCTTAGAAAACAAACACTATTCTCATTGGGATCTGATTGGATTCTTTGGGTATCAGCTCAGGATGAAGATCAGAACTGATTGAAAGCAATTAATTTTGGCAGATTTCACCAAAAGATGGGTAAGTATTTCAAGCCTGGTTCATGTGAATTGGGCCAATTTTGATTTCATTTTTTAGTACCTGTTAGTCACAGCAGGTTGGATTCCTTGCAGATTCCCACCTTTGGTTAAGATAGTCTCGTTCTCCTAGTTAATGTGAGTGACTGTTAGTTCTAGCCTCTTTCCAAGTTTTCTCTTTTATTGTGATCCTGCTCAAGTTTCCTGATCTCCCAAGTTTTTTTATGCTTGCTTTTTATCTTGATTGGACCAGCCTTTTATACTTCCCAACTCCCAAATTCATTTCCACCCCCTCCCCATTAATGAGTGAGCTTCTCGATTCTGTTTATCAACAGAATACAATGGCTACTCTTATTATTTTGGTATCAACTAATGGGGTCAGTAGAAACAAAAAAAGAAAGATCTATGTGTTAACACTAAGTTCAATCACAAATCTGTTGTAAACAGTCCAGCAGGCAATGTAGTAACAAAAACAGGGTCAGAAATCCAACCTTCCCCTCGCATCAAGCTCACAAATTGCAAAAAAATAACAGCCTTTATTCACTGAACAAATTTTCTGATTGGCCACACCATTAATGGAGAGAAGAACATTAGTTTCTCTGATACTTAAAGTAGGAGGTTTTTGTTAACTGTTTTCTTTAATTCTCCTTTGGCAGACATTGCACAAAACAAACTCTTTTTCAAGGTAGGTGATTTTTTTCTTTTGTTACAGTTTGAGTATAGAGATAAAACAAATATAAACCTCTGGTTTTATAAGGTAACCAAAAACTTCCGTGTTGTTTTTTATGTCATGTGAGAAGAAATGGTCACTGGTATGCAAATGAGGGTATCACATGTCAGGAAAGCAGTAGAAATAGAGGCAATGCACTTGATCAATGCAGGTATGTTGCACACACACACACACACACACACACACACACACACATCAGTCATAGATTGAGCAATGATGAGAAAACATAGCCTGCAAGATCATGCTTCATATCTGGCAGTCTCATCAACAAGTATTGCACTAGGAGCTGCTATCAATAGTCCAAATCATCACTGTAGACCTGTATTTGCAGCAGTTGGAATGTGTGCAACAGGAACTGAAGCAGAAGGGTGTACTGTTCCACTATGACAATCCCAGGCCTCATGTGGAGCCTTGGATACCATAGGACAAATTGGTTGGGAGACACTGTGCCATCCTCCTTATTCCATGACGATTAGTATCTCTTTCATTGTTTGGACAATCACCATTGTGGCAATCCTTTGTAAATGTGGCAAACTTGTGGAAGACACTCACAGACTTCTTTGTATCCAAGAGATGTAATCTTAACACCAAGGCATTGCGCAGTTGGAGACATGTAGGCAAAAGGTTCTGGATACTGATAGGGATGATTTTGAGGATTAACAGTATGTCAAATTTGCTTTATAGTTTTTTATTCTAATGAATAAAAAGTGGCAGGAACGTTTTTGGTTACCAAGTATTTCGTGGGTGGCAATTAAATTCTCCAAATTGTGCTTCTTCAAGCCATAAATATATTTATTTATTTATTTAACAGAATCTACCGAATGGAATCTGTTGAAGAATTCCATCTCTTCAAAGAAGAATTGCTTAAAAGGCCGCTTGTTCTACAATGTGCGGTGGATGGAGGTCCTGGAATCACCTGCATGAAATGGTGTCCTAACCTTGATTGTCGAATTGTCAGATTTTCAGGTAAATTTTTATCATCTGTCTATATTTCTGAGATGAGGTATTGTAACTATTTATATTCTTTAGATTGTTATCTTCATCTTTATTGTCATATTCACAACATTTCGGCAGTTGTAAACTCCGGCCTTCTTCAGGTGATATATATTGTAATTTCAAACCAAACCCTTTATTTTCATCCTGGGTAAGACATTAAACTACATTCACATCCTGGGTAAGACGATAAACTACATCCAGCAGTAAGGCCTCTGATCAGGAGGTTTTAGGGAACATGGAACTTCCTCTTAATTGCTGATGCTCCCAGGTCTACCCTGACCTGGGGTGGTAGCACCTGTTAGGGTCCCAGCTATAGGCAAATAGTTAACTATTACCAGCAATGCTTTTTTCAAAAAAATTATTACCAGCAATACAATTTTGAAGGGAAAATATTACCAGAAACAGATTTTTGACAAAACAAAATATTACCAGAAATAAAAAATGTTGTCAGCATTAAATAACCAATTGAGGTGTTGATATGCCATAAAACAAAATAAACCAAACCAATCTAAACCAAAGAATACATATTCTATTCCTACGAATCTATCCCATTAAATAACCCATTGAGGTGTTGATATGCCGTAAAAACAAAAAAGAAATCAAACCATTCTAAACCAAAGAATACATATTCTATTCCTACGAATCTATCCTAAAAATGTTGTCAGCATTAAATAACCCATTGTGGTGTTGATATGCCGTAAAACAAAAGAAATCAAACCATTCTAAACCAAAGAATACATATTCTATTCCTACGAATCTATCCTAAAAATGTTGTCAGCATTAAATAACCCATTGAGGTTGATATGCCGTAAAACAAAATAAACCAAACCAATCTAAACCAAAGAATACATATTCTATTCATATGAACCTATCCTAAAAATGTTGTCAGCATTAAATAACCCATTGAGGTTGATATGTCGTAAAACAAAATAAAACCAAACCAATTCAAACCAAAGAATACATATTCTATTCATGAACCTATCCTAAAAATGTTGTCGGCATTAAATAACCCATTGAGGTTGATATGCCGTAAAACAAAATAAACCAAACCAATCTAAACCAAAGAATACATATTCTATTCCTACGAATCTATCCTAAAAATGTTGTCGGCATTAAATAACCCATTGAGGTGTTGATATGCCGTAAAACAAACCAAACCCTTTATTTAGTCCATGGGGGTAGATTTTTCTAGTTCTGTATTCTGGATATCTCACTTTTTTTATTAATTTCCTTTAGTAACTTTTCAAAGACATATAGCCTAGTGGATAAAAGGATTGGTTGAAGTAATCCAGTGACTTAACCCAAAGAGTTGTAAGTTCAATACCTGGTCACGGCAGAGGTGAACAAAAAACTTGAGAGTTGTGTTACTAAAGGAAAATAACTGAAACTGAAATACCCAGAAAAGGCATGGCATGTGGAATGAGAACAATCTACCCCAGTTGACTAAATAAAGTGTTTAGTTCAAAATTCCAACATATATCACCTGAAGAAGGCCAAAGTGTACAATGGCCAATATGTTGGGAATATGGCAATAAAGACAAGGACAAAAGTTTGAACAATGTACATAACTCTTTATAAGTTTACTAAAAAGGATGTCAAGATGTATGTCAGCATCTGTCTTAAGCCATTGTGGTTGATGCAGGTTGAACACATATATTTTTACAATATGTTTTTACACACTTTACAATGAATAGTTCTTTAATTCGAAATCCTTGACCAAAATAGTTTCATTTTTCATTGTACTAACTTTTAGTATTTACAGTCTAATATGTATGGGTGTATATATAGATTTGTGCATATAGTTTTGGGTGGGTGTATGTGTCTATATGTGTATGTTTTTTGTTTTTTTTTGCTTGCTTGCTAGATTGATTAATTGATTTTCCATAGCTTATCAACACTTTGCTGATTATTTAAATAAGAAAATACTTTAGGTGATAAGATAATAATGGTTTAGTGATAAGCAAAGGACAACTCTGAATTGAAAACTAGTAGGGCATAGGGGTTAGCAATTCCACCAAATAAAAACCTACTTGCTATTGAAACTGCAGCAGCAACACCTAGTGTGCTGAAGCTATGGCTCTATACATTATGTTGTAGAGTAGTTTTCACAGTGGAGGCTTGTATTTCACTAAGTCGGTCCTAAATTAGGTTCGACGTACAAAACGTTAGAAACTTGAAATAATAGTTAATGACGCAGCAATCTCGTACTTTAATGTCCGACATCGACTGACTCACACAAGTCACTGGGCTTTACTGGCGACTGCTACTACTACTACTTACCTTTGGGAGAGTCTATTCACAATAGAAATAGGTATGTTCCGGTATAACACATTAATAAAGGTATATGATGATGGCTGCAACTCGATTTTAAATAAGGCCATCACTTGATTGATTCTCAAATATGAACAGCTTGAATATGACATTTTAGTCCTGCTAATGTCTTACACTCTCATGCAGATGTGGCCATGTTTGGTGCGTCTTGTAGTAGGTGTTCCAGTAATATTTTGGTGAGCTTGTTGCAACCTGCCTACCCAGGTTTTTGTTGTTATCTGAGTTTTGAGATCCCAAACATTTAACAAGACACTTTTTAAATGAAACATGAAAAATATTATTCTCTAAAGGAAAAATAGAAACCAAATGTCAGTTGAAATAACATACATTTTATTCAGAAATATACAATAATAATAAAAAGTTCAATTTTCCTTGCAGTTAAGTTTGTTTCATCAAGTAATTAAGTGTTCTTAGTGCGGTATAAGATGTGTGAACATACTTTATGACGGTCAGCCTAATGTTTTTGTCAGTGCGTGGACAAGGCCTTAGTTGGCAGCTGCTGGCTCATCTCTTCCATTGTGTTTATATGTGCATGTAAATCAAACAGTCCTCCAAAATTGTCTTGAGCATTGAGAAGCAGCAGGCTTCTATTTTTATATCCCTAAGGGGATTCAAAATCTAATTTCACATAGAGGTGTGAACTTTTTGAATACAATGTTTTCATTAACTAGAAAATGATTATTTTTGCTAGCTTCCAAAAAATGTTTTCAAATTTGCAGGTGTGGTGAAGTTAGGCTACAGTTTGATAACCTGTGCCAAAACAATATAAGGTCACACCACTTACCTGTATATTGAGACACTAACCGTAATATAATTCTGTATGCATTTATAGCAAGCAATCTACAACACACGCTGGTAGTACTGTATATTGTATTGGTATAACTTAGCAAACATTTAAAATTCATCAGGTCTACTGATAAATACACTAAAAGTCAACATCAACTCCTATAAAATATTAATAATGCAGATTACACATCACACATATTTTTTCAATAGTACTGCTATGTATCATATGTTATTGTAAAATACAGTATCACTCATCCGCATTGACATCAGTGATGTAATCAAACAGCCAGTGATGTCACCACTTAGTGTATCAGCAATTGGACATGATGCGTGCTGTAGCATTGATAGAATATTGAAACTGTGTTACTATTTTATACCCACCATATAAATCACCCCCGAGTTTTGGGAAGATTTTTTAAGCTTGAAAACTCTACTTGTATGCTGTAATTTACAGTAATGACTTCTCACTTTGGGTGTGGCTTGTTTGATGTTTTTGTGGCCTGCCTTACTTAGATGCTACTATATTCATAATGTATTAGGTCAAACTCTGTGCCAGAGAGATGAACACTCTTACAAACAACTATCATTACTATCATGAAATTGTCCTGGCAATATGCATATCTTACCTTTCCTTTTACCTGCCATGTCCTTTTAGGACATAGGCAATCATGGCTCTTCACCTCCCTTTATCCCTTGTAGCTCTTAACAAGTTCCTTCTCTCTGCCATCTCCCCCAGACCACGTTCTGTCATCCACTTGCTCAAGTCCGCTAGGTGTGTCATGCGTTGTTTCCCTTTGTCTCTCTTTTCCTCTATTCGACCTGTGAGTATCAGATTCTCCAGGCCCTCCTTTCTCATTATGTGTCTCAGAAACTTCAGCTGCCTTTTCCTGATGTTAATTATAAGCTTCCACCTTGTTTGCATCCTCTAAAACCTCATCGTTGCTCACATGCTCAGTCCATGATATCCTTAGCATCCTTCTGTAGAACTACATCTCTGTCACCTCGAGTCTCTTCTTCGTCTTTGAGGAAATTGTCCAATATTCACTGCCATAAAGAACAGATATCACATAACAGCCAGTATTATTATGGATTACTTGTAATTGCAAGCTTGAGTCATAGTATAAATAGTTCTAAATAATTATTGACCAATTTTATCATTTTGATATTTTTGTATTATAGTAGCAGTAGAGCCCGCGTTGCCCGGGGATGTAACAGTAAGAGATAGATCAAGTATCGACCATTATAAAGACTGAAAAATAAAATTGACAAAGATTATTGTTTAAGGTTGAAGGACACACATGTCTTAATTAGTTTTTTGTTATTTTTTTTTTATTTTTTTTGTTTGTTTTTTTTTTTACGAATTGGTCAAACCCAAACAAAAACATGGAAATTGTCCAACATTCCCTGCCATAAAGAACAGATATCACATAACAGCTGAGTTTAGTTGTCTGAATGACCATCTCAGTCAGTGTTTACTCTTAGTGTATCGGTTGTTGGACGTGATTTGTGCTGTAATGTTATTAGAATACTGAATTTATGTTACTATTTTATTATTTTATATTAATTTCTGTATTAATATGACAAATATGTTCACCAAACACAAGTTTTAGTGGGATATATTTGTGATGGCCTATTGGTGATACAGTAAGTGGTGTGTAGTGATTGTTACAAGTGTTGTCTTAGTGATAATGGTTTGCATTTTATACCTGCCATATAAGTCACCCCAGAGTTTTGGGAAGATTTTTTAAGCTTGAAAACTCTACTTGTATACCATAATTTACAGTAATGACTTCTCTCTTTGGGTGTGGCTTCTTTGATGATTTTTGTAGCCTGCCCTACTTAAATGTTTTCATATTCATAGCACGTTAGGTCAAACTCTGTGCCAACAGTCCCAGGGAGGTCAAATATTCTTGACAATTGGTTCTCAAACTTTCTTGCCCAGTTCACCATTTTCACCATATGTCAGAATTCCCCACTTTTCCAAAATTGTCTGACTCAAAGTTTCTTTCCAAATAATATGCATATATTATTGAAAATCTTCATTCTTTTCCATATTAGTACACACACACACATATATATATATATATATATATATATATATTTGAATAGATTATTTTTATAGAGGAGTTTTACAAATTTAATAGCAATAGAAAATGTTGGAGTTTTAAACTTGAATAGTTGTTCAGTAATTGTTTTAATTCATAACTAATTATAAAATAAATAAACTGAAGCAGACTTCAATAGACAAAAAATTCCATAGAATGTCAGGGTATTGTAATTCAATAAACAAAAAGTTTGGTACTGTGGGAGATGATAGCAGGTGCAGCAAAATGATTGAAAGACAAAGATTTAGAAACAGTTTCAAAAATTCACATGCTAAAAATAAATATGATTTAAAAATTTAAAATATTATTATGGATTACTTGTAATTGCATGCGTGAGTCATAGAATAAATAGTTATAAATAATTATTGACCAATTTTATCATTGTGATATTTTTGTATTATATTATGTACTAGCAGTAGAGCCTGGCGTTGCCCGGGGATGTAACAGTAAGAGATAGATCAAGTATCGACCATCATAAAGACTGAAAAATAAAATTGACAAAGATAGGTCAACAGACACGCATGTCTTAATTGGTTTATTTTCGTTTGTTTTTTTTTTTACAAATTGGTCAAACCCAAACTCAAACAAAAACATTGTTTTCAATTGTTATGAGTCTACCAATTGAATAGAATTTTATTATAAACAATTGTCTTCTAAATGGAATTTTTAAAGCATTCTGAATGTAAAAATAAAGAAAAAAGTGTGCAAGACAATAAGAAACACCACCTGCCAAAAAAAAAGTGAAGTTTTGTTGGAATCGGTTGAAAAATGTAGGAAATCCGATCCAATATATAAACGAACAGACACACACACACACACACAACCTGGGTTTTATAATAAGTATGATTAAGAATATAGTAACTAGGGTCCACAAATTGGGGAAGAGTGTTATCAATGATAATGTTCTGACTTTGAATCCACAGTTATCTCGCTTTTTTTAAATTTTTGAATGTACTTTTTATTACATCAAATTTGGTGAGGCACAGACAAATTTTCATTCTGAAAATGTGGCCTAGAGAAAAAAAAATTTGGGAATCACTTGGATAGAAGTATGCAAATCTAATGATGTGTGGTGTCACCCTACCTTGACATAATGCAAAATACCTAACCCAATATCAATTTTCTACTGACATCTGGTGAGTCAGTCTGAACACTAATACAACTGCTCATGGAATGACAATGTGAATTGTCTGAGTTCAAGCAGGGCATGACAGTGGGTGACTGATTCATAGAACATTTTAGTTGGGGACATTACTATCTCCAAAAATTATTATTGCACAAAACAGAATTATTTCTACACTTTCATAGTGTTTTGACCCCAGTTTTTACCCCTAGCTGGGACCCTAACAGGTGCTACCACCCTGGGTCAGGGTGGACTTAGGAAACAACAGCAATTAAGAAGTGATTCCACGCTCCTCAAAACCTCCCAATCAAAGGCCTTACTGCCAGATGTAGTTTATCATCATACCCTGGATGGAAAATGACCTGGCTATTGAGTAATCAGGGCTACCTACCATTTAAATTATTTCACATGAAAAAAAGGAAAAATGAGAAAAATTCTATTCAGACTACAACTCTCCTTTCAAAGACTTATGGCCATATCACATTAAACACTGGTTCCTGTATGATTACCAAAGTTAAGCAATGTCAAACCTAGTCAGTACCAAGATGGGTGACCATTTGAGAATACCAGGTGCTGTAAGCTTGGATGTGCAACTGGTGTGAAGGATAATGGCTCAGAATTGTTAATCAGAGACCCGAGTTCCAATTCCCATTAGATTCACTTACAAATACCATTGGGAAAGATATGAATCCACCTCTTCTCCCTCCAGCTATGGGTTAATTAGTAAGACTTGCATCACTAAACCATCATTATCTCAAAAAAAATCTTAGAATCTAAAAATATTTTCTGGCTTTAAATAACCTGCAAAGGGTTGATAAATCATAAAAACCAAATCAATCAATCAATGAAATATTGATCACATGCACAGGCATGTCTTTTAGATTTATTTACATTCTCTGGAATACAAATGAATAGAAACTACAATGACCACAAAGTGAGGGTTGAGTTCATATATTGATTGTAATATAGAATTGATCCCCCATTTTATGCCCACATTATAATTTCTTGTTTATCAAATTTAGATGAGGTATGAATACACCTCTTCTCCCCCAGCTATGGGTTAATTAGTATGACTTGTATCACTAAGCTATTATTATCTACCCCCCCCCCAAAATTCTTACAATCTAAAAATATTTTCTGGCTTTAAATAACCTGCAAAAGATTGATAAACTGTAGAATCAATCAATCTTGGATTTCCATGTCACACTTTTTCATTGTCTATTTTTACACAGTCCACTTTCATGTCCGTTTAATTTCGACATCACCTTTTTGTAAAATGCTATTTTTAGGTCATTTAATATTTAATGCCGTGTTTGAAAAATATCTTTCTCAAGATACTGATTCTCTTTAACAAGGTACTTTCCAGAATTAAAAGTTTAAGGAAAATATGCTCTGATAACTGGCATAATCAATAAATAGTATCAATGTAGCTTCCATGAATTATTCAGTGTTGATTCTCCATGTTTAACTCCAGCTGATCACACTCTCTCTACCCTAAGGCCATTTTTTACCTGTGTTTGTAACAAGGGAAATCACTTGGTCCCACGTGTTAAATGTCTCACTGTGTCCTGCATTATCAACTCCTCTGTTCTGACACTTGATAGTCTAACCAAAAGCCAAAGCACCCAATGTTCAATCCTTCTAAGGTTGAAGCTATTTTACTAGTATCAAAGAGAAATTCTTGCTGTTCTTCCAGACCAAAGAAATGTTTCTGTATGAAATGAACATATGGCCAGAACTCTTGGAGGTAAGGGAGGATAATATTTGTCCTTTTTTTCTGGGATTCGTTGATAATGAAGGTGGTCCAGCATCTCCTGCATGTGATTAGATAGGCTACCTAGCCCTACCTGGAAGAGAATGACTTTTAAGATCTCATTTCAAAAGTAACTATAAATAAAACAATGTAGTGAGCTTGGCAATGTGAACCTTTTAGAATGTCTCAAGATCAATTGGTATAAAGGTCAATCCTAATTGGAGAATCCACAAAGAAGGCATTGTGCCAAAAGTTAAGTCAGTAAATATTAAATTATTTCTAAAGAATTAATGTATTTTATTTTTATCCAACATTTTTTATTACAAACATTATTATAATGGATACTTCTTATTTGAAATCGATACAGGATTTTTATTTACTAAACAATATATTTGGAAGGCTCAGTGGCGTAATGGGTTGAGGAATCGGAGAGCCAAGTTCAAATTACAGTTGAGTTCATAACATTCATTTGCATGCTAATACCCTTAGCAAATTTAAGAATCAATCTCCTCTCCCTCCAGTTATGGGTTAAATAGCAGAACAGGATGGGTTCTATAACCTTAAGTCTAGGAGAAAAGAAAATCTGAATTCAAAACTGTATGTAGCCCTGGCGAAGCATATACTATACAGATAAGGAAAGGATCATTAGCATTGGCTCAATGATCTTTGGATGGTAACCAGTCTCAGAGAAGGGAAACTCTGAATTCAAAACTGTATATAGCCCTAGTGAAGCACATAAAATGAAGCTAAGGAAAGGCTCGTTTGCATTGACTTGATGATTCTGACTACGGTTGGTTATGACTAATGGCCTGCTCATTCAAGAAATCTTACTAAAGAAAAGGTGTCCACAGGCAGGGATTGAACCTGTGTCTTTTGAGTAGATGTATTATTACATCTAATTGTATCTAATAATATTAGCATAATAAAAAGCAAGAGAAATAAGATGAAAGAAATCCTATTGAAAAATGAATAATAATTGACAAGCCTTAATATAAGAAATTCAAATCTTATTACATGTAATACTACTAGTGGACTAAAAAGCAAGAGAAATAAGATGAAAAAAATCCTATTGAAAAATGAATAATAATTGACAAGGCTTCATGTAAGAAATTCAAATCTTATTCCATCTAATACTACTAGTGGAATAAAAAGCAAGAGAAATAAGATGAAGGACATCTTAGTGAAAAATGAATAATTGCCAAGGCTTATTTCTAAGAGACTTGAATATTATTTCATCTAATAATTCTTGTGTTATAAAAAGTAAGAGAAATAAAATAAATAGTTGTCAGAAATTATTCAGTGATAATTCTTTATATAAAAAAATATTCAATGTAATTTGAATTCTCATTTTTTTTAATCATTGAAAGAGATAGATAGAAACAGACTGAGGAATTAATTAATCCTTTTTGCCATTGACTTTCACAATTAAATGCATTTAATGAGCACTTTTATTTAGAAAACCATTTTCCAAATCATAAAATTTTTAAGTCTTAACCACTTATCATTCAATCCTCCCAAATAAGCCTCATAAATTTGGGCTCTCATTGTTCAACCTGACATAACTCATCACCATGTATACTCTATCATAATATTTGACATCATCATCACAAATAATGCTGAAAGTCAGGCAAACATATTTTGAGAGCAGAGGGAATTTGGGCAGGTTAAATACTAAAGGTGAAACCTAATTATCATATAAACCTAATCTGTGACAATTCTTTTCTTCTTCCTCAGGAGATTATATTGTTCTTTTGAACCAAAATCACCCGAAGATCTTAGCCCGTCTGCAAATGGGACTGGAAGTTGCTGAACGTGCCATGCAAAGATCCCAACCTTTTATTCTCACAGTAAGACATATTTTTCTCTTTTTTCATCTCTCTCTTTTTTTCATCTCTCTCTTTTTTTCATTTCTCTCTTTTTCATTTCTTTTTTTTTTCTTTTTCATTTCTCTTTTTTTTTTCATTTTTCTTTTTTTCTTTTTTTTTTCATTTCTCTCTTTTTCTCTTTTCTCTCTTTCTCTCTTTTTTTTTTTCTTTTTCTTTTTTTTTTCTCTTTTTTCTTTTTCTCTTTTTCTCTTTTCTCTTTTCTCTTTTCTCTTTTTCTCTCTTTCTCTTTTTCTCTTTCTTTTCTTTTTTCTTTTTTTCTCTTTTTTTTTCTCTTTTTCTCTTTTTTTTCTCTTTTTCTCTCTTTCTCTTTCTCTCTTTTCTCTCTTTCTTCTTTTTCTCTTTTTTCTCTTTTTTTCTCTCTTTTTTTTTCTTTTCTCTCTTTTTTTTTTCTCTCTTTTTTTTTTTTTTCTTCTTTTCTTTTTCTTCTTTTTTTTTCTTTTCTCTCTTTTTTTTTTTTTTTTTTTCTTTTTTTTTTTCTCTTTTTTTTTTTTTTTTTTTCTCTTTTTTTTTTTTTCTTCTTTTTTTTCTCTCTTTTTCTCTTTTCTCTGATTGGACTAAAAAAAGCAATTTTCAAAATATGTGAAAGCCTCACGTTACTATATTTTGAATTGAAGTTCATCTCATGAATAACCCAAGTTAGCCTGACTTTTTAAAATTAGACCCAAATGTCGAAATGAAAAATCTATTAATGTTAGGCTTTCAAATGTAGCCTACAAGTATGTTTTTCCAATTAAAGAAAGGCAAATTATGGCAAAAAGTGAGGGATCTGTTTATAACTCATTGTAAAACAATATTGACTCACCAATTAATATGCACCTATTTGTTAATCAAAAGAAGCAATTTAAAGATTACCTGAAAAAAATCCTTTGGTACCTGTCGCATCAACCACTGCCAATGGTCAACCCTAACTGAGAATCATGCCACCTGGCATCTCACCACCAACCATGCTGTCTCCTTTGAAAAATCTGCAGGGCCACTCTCAGGAACAAGAGACAGAGGAGGAAGTACAGTAAAGCTATGTCATCGAGCCCAGGCCAGACTTTAAGCTTCAACTACTGCATTGGACTTATCAGTCACAGATGTGCCTGCAATCTACATGTACAGACTCTCTCTTGATCTTCATTTTGTGCAACTAAGCCATGATGATTGATCTAAAATTGGGGTTTCCAGAATGCTTATTCCCTGCCTCATATGGAATGTGAATATTTGTTTCATCACAAGAGCTGCCAGAAGTGTTGGTTCCTTGTATTGCTACAGAAAATTCCTAACCCTTGCTGCATTGTTCAGTTTTTAGAATAGTCAGATTAAACCAAGAATGGAATATTGCTGCCATATCTGAGATGTTCAGCCTTGACAAAATCCCAAAGTGATTATGCAGCCTTGTAAGTGGTGACTTATTCTCGACCCTTCAACTCTTATCCAACACTGTCTTGTGGCGTAATAAAAAGCAAGAGAGATGAAAGAAATACTCATCAAAAATTAATAATCAATATAGATTCAAATTTAATAATTAACATTTAATAATTCATATGTCTATGTTTGGGCCTGTTTTTATCTCCCACCTGGATAGATATTGAAACACACTTTTAACAGTTGTGAAACATTTTGTATTGATAGAAATTTTACCTCCTGTAGGCATTGTGTCTGTTAAAAATGGGACTATATTTAGAATTATTTTTTTTTTTTGTTGAGAGATATACCAGAATGGTAGACGCAATTTAAATTTATTTTTGCTTTGCAATGTCAGCCATAAAAGTAATTCTTTTTCTGTCCATAGTGTTTATTCATCTGTGTAGATTTACATGTCTGGACAGCCAGCTGAGCTGACAAAAATGAAAGAAAAGAAAAAAAAATTCTTGATAAACATGAAAAATTGTGTGATGATTCTAGATGAATGGAATAAGATTCTGGTGGGGAATAGTCTTAAGAATGGAACTGGTCAGGAATTGGTGCCTTTTGAATAATTTGTCTAAAATGTTTCCAAAAAGAAAAAATCTTGTTAGTAAAGAAAGGTAGGTAAAATGACAGAAAAAAAAAAAACTAATTGTGAAATAAAAGAAGTCAGTCAGTGGAATTGGAAAAAAAATTGTCTATATGAGGAGGTGCTGAAAATTTCTTGGTTCAATCCACTTCCAAAAATTGTACCCTTTTTTTAATAATGATTTTCACTATGTACGAGGCCCAAGAGCCACTCAAGATGGAGATTTATGGTGTAAGAGGCACAGTTTATGTGAATATATGAGAAAGGTATTAATGTTAGAAATTTATTATTAACAGATCACGACAGCTATTAGAGAGATGTGATCAAATATACTTTAATGTTTGAAAAAATTTATTCAACATTATTATTGTTTAGATAATAAGCATTATAACATAGTACAAATAGCTATATTGTAGAAAAAGGAATTTTTCACATTTTTTACATATTTATGGTCAAACCTATAGTTGAAAAGGTTAAGAAAGTGATTCGGTAAGCATCCTCTTGGGAGCCTGTTCCACAAAGTAGTTATTTGTGAGAAGAAGCTGCATTTCACCAATGGAATACGAAGGTAATGAGGGTGACTCGCTGCAATGTACATGGCATGGTGGGTCTTAGAAGTGACGGTTAAGGCTGGTAAAACTAAAGAATATAGTTCGTCTGAACATTTGCCATGGAAATAGCGACAGAGTAGAGATAGGCTTAGATGTAAAGGTCTGAACTGGTGGAACTAAGGAATGTAGCTCATCTGAACATTTGCCATGGAAATAGCGATAGAGAAGAGAGAGGCTTAGATGTGAAGGTCTGAAGTGGGGGAACTAAGGAATGTGGCACATCTGAACATTTGCCATGGAAATAGCGATAGAGTAGAGAGAGGCTTAGATGTGAAGGTCTGAACTGGGGGAACTAAGGAATGTAGCTCATCTGAACATTTGCCATGGAAATAGTGATAGAGCTGTGAGAGGTGTGTGATGTTTCCTCTGTAGAGAAGGGGTTGTCTGGTGAAAAATAATTCATCATTCACAAGAACATGGATGAAAAAGCCTTGGTTGAGCTGATAGCTTTTCAGCACCCCACATGGAGATTTGAATTCATCACTGATAATTAGGTAATGAAAAAAAAAAAGAACCTACCTAAATGTTGGAAATATTGTACATTTACTTGGATATAGTCCCAGTATTTTGAATTCTGATTTTTAAAACAGGTTTACAGACACATCCTACTTGGAAGATTGGTGCAGCACAATCTTTCCTACTCGTGTATTTTTGTAATGAAATAAACTAGGCAAAGCAAAAAATTAATCTTTTTTTCAAATCATTTCACCTCAAGCAAAGAGGAAGCGTCATTACCACACAAGGGTTTACAGAGAGTGAGCACAAGGCAAAGAGGGTTGTTTGAAGAAAGGAGATAGAGAAGGACAAGGATATTAAATCCTAGGAGCTGAATACAGTTGAAATTTAGTCTTTTGATGGAAACTTTTACATATACAATGTGATAGGTCCTGATCTGGCATCTCGTCTACAGTCACTTTCTCACAGACGTACTGTGGCTTCCCTCTGTCTTTTCTACCAATATTTTCATGGCAACTGCTCTGATGAGCTATTTTCACTGGTGCCCCAAGTTCATGAATTTAAACGTGCTACTAGGTTGGCATCTCAGTCCCACCCTTTCACTGTTGAAACCACCTCTTCGACTCCAACAACTTTTTCTCTCGCACCTCCCATCAGTGGAACTCCCTTCCTCTTACTTGTTTCCCTGACAGCTATAATCTTCAAATATTCAAATGTAATATCAAGGCATCAGAAGATGTCGATTGGTATTACATTTGAATATTTGAATAAATAAGTTGGACTCTATTTTAAGTAGTAGGTAATATGCTGTCTAAGTAGTCCATCACTAGCAGTGGTTTACCTATTTCATGCCACTGGTGAGTATTGTATTTTGTTGATGTTCTAAAGATTACCATTTTATTTCATTTCCAACCTTCGTTTTGGTTATTCCTCATTCAGTAAGCCTTTCTAGGTTGCAATAGTATGTAAGATGGATTATATGAAAATCAGTTGAAAGTTTAAATTTTTTATTGTTTCGCTAACATCAAGAAAAATCAGGAAAAATCATTACCATGACAAACCTGCTACTTATATATGCTGCAGGTAATTAGATATTGTTCTTGAAAATTTAACTCTTTCAACACTTGACCCCCTGATGAATATGGTATACACAGTTTCACACAGTGATACCAGCAACTCGGATCTAAATAGTTAACAGTGAATAATATTGTAAGTATTTGTGAATAAGATAACTGAAATCTACAAATATACATATTCCTTGACTTTATTAAGAATACACTTACCCAAGTAAAAATGCGTTGTGGATAATTTTATCCCTGAAGTGAGTAAAGAAATACAGAGAAATGACAACAAGGTTTCAGCAGCAGCAGCAGCACTAAGGAAAGAGAAACCTCTGTCAGCAACAGGTTTAAGGTCCAAGATCTACACTCAGGATTGTCCCATGGAACAATAGACTAGTAGATTAAAGCTTTGGCTCATGAATTTGGTTGCATAATAAATGTGAATCGCAATAAGTGAGCAGTACTAAATAAGAAATAGGCAAGCTAATCCCTAGACATGGCCAGCAAAATGAGAACAATCTACACCTATAGATTAAATAAAGTGTTGTTCAAAATTCACTGAAGGTTACCCAGATGAAGACAATAGCCAGTGGGTAAATAATATAAATAATATATTTTCATATATACAGGGTGGCAATAAAGTCACTATACAGTTACTTACAATAACAATTAAGACAATGCAATTAATCAACAGCCCAGAAATTTATTATTAACAGATCACGACAGCTATTAGAGAGATGTGATCAAATATAGTTTAATCTTTGAAAAAATTTATTCAGTATTATTATTGTTTAGATAATAAGCATTATAACATAGCACAATTAGCTATATTGTGGAAAATTCCATTTTCCA